CTACAGCCCAGTGGCATGGGCAGCAGAAGAGTACAGGGTGAGTGATGGGCCTGAAGTAACTTAGAACCTGTAGGGTGCAGATCAAAGAGAGAAATTAAGAACCATGATAATCAGGCAGTTGAGAATGCAGATGGTAGATGTGGTGATGTTTCAGTGTAAATCATAACAGGTAAACATGCTGTTTAAATGTTGATCAATTCGACACTACAATCATAATGCTCATTTCCTGCTCACGAAGGACATTTCCACTAGAAACATTGTCTAAATGACAGAGCATGATGGCTATGCCAATAATCCTAGCTATTCAGCAAACTAAGTTAGGAGGATCCCAAATTTGAGGCCAAACTGGGCAACCTAGAAAGACACAGTTCTTCTTTCATTTGTTTAAGGGTCTGAGATATAGCTCAGAGGTAAATTCTTGCCTATTTTGTAGGAAACATTGGCTTCAATCTCCAGTATTATAAAATAAATAAAGAAGTAAATATATGTCCAAATATGTGGAATTGGGGCACCAGTACAGCAGATGGCTAGTACTAGGAACATGGGCTTCTTTTACTGAAGGATGGATCCTTACATAGTGAGGTTATGTAAAAATTACTTTCTCAGGAAATTGATTGTATTATCTAATATATAGATTCCTTTCAAAATCTTTTATTCTTTGCTTCAAATATCTAAAATAGTAAAATCAATTTAGACTAATTTGTAAAAATCTGACTCTTTTAAACTAAATATTACTGTATTATCAAGCACTATTTATTCCATTACACAAAATATGAAACCTAAAAAACTATCTTCCCTTATAACTCAAGCCTAGGATTATGTTGCAGGAAAAACTGCTAAAGAAAATGGATCCTTTATGGCTAATGACTCAGGATATTCAAGATAATCTAAATGAAGAAATTAATAAATGTCAGTCCTTTGTGGTAAGTTTGAAAATGTTTTCATTATTCTAATTAAAATGTTGCTAATTCATTATGCTAATTAAAATGTTGCTGTCAGATAAATTGGAGTTGATATTGAAGAATAGTGTTTTCATCTCAAAAAAAAAGCAGTGATTTCTAGTAATAGTATGAATACACTGGCCAACACAAGCTAAGATGAAGAATACAAGTATACGGGCGTGAATGAGGCATGACTGGTATTCTTTGTCCAACTTTTGAGGTTTGGATAAATCTTCCCAGACACTGAGGATAAGACAGTATTGCACTAGTTAGTTGGAAGGAGAGGAGAGATATAGATTTTTAACTATGGGCAATGTGGAGGTTCTTTTTTTAATGTTTCATACAGTGTGTTTATAAATATTGAAAAATATTTAGAAGAATCAGACAAGGGAACAAAAGAAAAGGAGGAAGATTCAGATAAAAGAGGAAACAATGCATTAAGAACTCTTAAAAGACATCATAGGGAGATAGCCTGGGACCCCCTCAGACATTGTTTTAAATAGGAGAGAGGCAAGAAACAGAGAAAAAAATGCTAGATAGGATTAGTAAATATTTAAGACACTGTGTGAGCATGAGACAAAATGTATTTGAAATATTTGCTTGATGCTAAGACAATAATATTTGAAGCTTTAAAAAAGTTTTTGAATGTAATCTTTTTAAATGAATATCTCTACAGGACTATGTAGTCTTAAGGAAGAACATGATCCAAGTTCAATATCAGATGATGCATAACTTTCTCCTGGAGGAGGAGCGATTTCAACTGAAGACACTAGAAAGAGAAGCACAGGAGATTTTTCAACAACTCAGAGACAGTGAAATCAGAATGGCCCAACACAGGGAAAGGCTGAAGGAAATGTACAGGGAGCTGACTGACATGTGCCATAAGCCTGACATGGAGTTGCTCCAGGTGACCAGGGAGGGTCCATCCTTAGAGAGAGGAATTCTTGTCTGGGCAATGTTGCCTGCAGAGCCCACTGTGCTCAGCTGAGTGACAGGAGCTCCTTTACACCCATCATTGTCCAATCACTTGTTTCCCTATATTCTGGTAAACTTGAGAGATTGTAAGTCTTGCAGAAGGTAAATGAGACAAAATCTTGTGTCACTAAGATGAGTATAAACACAGAGAAATTATCCAAAAACTCAGTAATCAGAGGAAAGTTAATTTTGTTGAGGAAATATTCAGTTTATGTTTCCCAACTCCATCATTACCCTCTGTTCTGTACAAAAGCAGATGAGGCTTTTCCCCTCTAATAAGCATGTACAGACGTTGTTGATCAATTTCAGTGCACTATTTTTCAAATAGCTCACTGTTAATTGTAACTGTCAGAGGGGATCAGATCTCTCCTGGGACTAAGACTGGGAGATGAGTGACACAGGAACCTAGGTCCTGTTGAATCACTGCACAGACCCTTTCTAAGCTCCATCCTTCACCAAGTCTGTCTTCCATGTTTAATGTGGGCTTTGGTATTACCATAAACTCAGGTGACTTTTCAGAGGAAAATGAGAAAAAAAATGT